GAAGCAAACTGTATAAATTCACAAAGCAAGATAGGATGTAAGTAAAATTTCTCGTGGTATTCTTTTGAAAAGATCTTCACATGTAGTCTTTGGAATTGAGGTTTCTAGAGAAAATGATTCAGGAGAGATGCTAATGTTCATGCAGCCATTGCAATGGGGCGTTTATACATAGAGGTACTTCCCATCTTCGTTCTAATGCTAGCCTAGTTGCTATGACATCTTTTCCTCACTGGATGTCATAATCTATAAGTCATCCTGCTAAGGAGGCTAAGAGGTCTGGCTTAACATTTCCATGACTGCCCACAGAAGCAACGTGGAAAACTCTTTGGCCCACACTCTCCTGTGACTGTTTCAAGGAGCAAATTTCTATTAGCTTCCATTTCCCTTGTGACGGGTCTCCCACCTACTGGTGCAGGTAACTTAGAACAAGCAGAGTAACTGAAAGGTCAGATTTCAGAGTTTACACAATAGGCTGCCCTTTGCTGCTTTGCTTCTGACTTGTTAGGAGTCCTGGAGTGCACAAGCTTCCTAATGCTTTTCCCTTGCTTATAAAAGGGCCAGGACAGCCTGGGATTTCTGGAGCTGCTTGAAGATGGCTTAAAGCCTCAAGTAAGAGACTGAGACTGAAGAGTCTCACTGATTTTTTTTTTTTTTTTTTTAATAACTGAACATCTGGTTTAAACGAAATATGCTAATCTATTAAAAAGATATAATTAACTGTGAAAAAGGTGTAATCAATTGCCTGTAAGGACACTCAAGTGAGATGCACAGGAATGCGTATGAGGTGTTTGGCAAGGTGAGCAGGATTAGTTTGTGGAGCTCTGGTAGCATAGTGGCTAAGGCACTTGACTGCTAACCAGAAGGCTGGTGGTTCAAACCCACCAGCCACTCCTCGGAAGGAAGATGGGGCAATCTACTTCTGTAGTGATTTGTTGTTGTTGTTGTTATGTGCCGTCGAGTCGGACCCGACTCATAGCGACCCCTCCTTGGGTTTCCAAGGCAGTATCACTACCTAGTTTGAACCACCAGCCTTCTGGTTAGCCTACGCTATCAGAGCTCCTAAATGATACTGCCTTGGAAACCCAAAGAGGGGTTGCTGTGAGTCGGGGCCGACTTGACGGCACATAGTAACAACAACAAGCACTTTCACACATATTACCTAGTATGATCTTCTGAGTAGCCATTTTAGAAAGGAAGAGAAAGAAATTGCCCATTTATAGATAAGGGAACAGATTTGTTAACAGAACTAGGACAGAACTCATGTCCCTGCTTACAAATTGAGTTATTTCCTGAAGCAGAAGACTGGTTTCAATTTGAGCTTTGCTGCAACCCTGCTAAGTGGTTCAGCTATAGGCAAAAAATAAAAAAAAGGAGGAAAGCTATTTAAGTATATATTTTAAGTTTAAACTGTGGTTTATTATTTAAAAAAAAAAAAAAATCATGAGAGTCCTTCAAGCAGTCGATGCAACAGCCAAGGCAGATTGATGAACTGAATACTTGAAAAGCCCAGGTGTCTTTTAAATAAAAAAGTTGCTCCATTTGGGTAAAATCAATTAGGTGAAATTAAAGAGGAGCATTACTTTTCAAAGATGAACATAGCAACAAAGTATCCCATAAATACTAATAATATACATTTAAAAGTGGTAGCACACAAAGCTTTCCCTTGGAGAAAAAAAAATTAGCTAGTTTCTCTGAAATTGTTATCCTCAGTTCATAGAGCTGAGATGGAATTCTGTTTGTGGAAAAGTGAAAACAGGACATTCTTCCATATGCAAATAAATCTTTTGCTGATTGTTGTGGTTGTTCTTACGTGCTGTCGAGTCGGACCCAACTCATAGCAACCCCTCCTTGGGTTTTCCAAGGCAGTATCACTACGGAAGTAGATTGCCCAACCTTCCTTCCGAGGAGTGGCTGGTGAGTTTGAACCCCCAGCCTTCTGGTTAGCAGTCAAGAGCCTTAGGCATTACACTACCAAACAGAAACTAAGAGAAGTAATTTTTTTGCTATTATTTTAGCAGTAACAGAAGCCATTCCAATGGGTAAAATGGTCTTCTCCCTCTTAAATCCTTTAACATCACTCAAAATCCTACTGGAACAGTGAGGAAACAGAACGTGGGATGACGAAGTACAGTATTTTACCCCTCCCCACCAAACTCAATAGATTCTAGTACAACACTGTCCCAAACAGTTTTCACATGGCCAGGTCATGGATAGAACGCTGGTTTCGTTCTGGACGGTAGAACAAATGCACCAATCACTGTTACTCTCTGGTGTTAAGTCCCATTGCAAGAAAGGAGTTCCAGCTTGTGTTTGACAGGGAATTTTCCCATTACTAAAGAAAGAAAATAAACTACTTCTCTCACCCCAAAAATAGTTTTTGCAGATAAAGTCAGAGAACTCTGAAAGGATCTGCTTGATTTTCACCCAGAGAAGGGAAAGCCAAAGAGAGTAAAGCACAAACACCAGGTAGACAACAGTCCTAGACGATACCTCACTTATGTGAAGAGCTTTTTGTGAGCTCACTTACATTCTCTCTTAATGTTGACTACAACCCTATGAAGTTGGTAGGGAAAATAATTCCTCACTTTGTGGAAGACTGGAACAGGGACTCAGAGGTAGATCTTGTCCAAAGTCAAAGGATTAGTAATTGGTTTTGCAGGCACTCGAATCCAGATTCAGGTCTTTCAGACCATTGCTTGTATGGTGTCGCCAGGTGGGTAGGCCATGCAGACAAGATGAGAGGGCTTAGCAGTTTTCCAGCGTGTGGCAGCAGACAACATTCTCCACCGTGTCCTCATTTATAGGCTAGATAATGGTGTCTTAACTCAGATGGGGACTGTAAAGGGAGGAGCCCCTAACACATGGGGCTCCAAAAATATTTGAAAAAATAACACTCTAAAAATGATAACTTGTAACAACAAAGGGAGTATATTCAAGACCAACTCTTTTGTAAGTAAAGCATTTAAATTGGAAGAAAGACAAAAAGAAACTCCCCTAGTACTGATTTTTATTGAACAGAAACAAGGAACATTTCTGTGGGCTTAGACTCTTGCAGGACAATCCTAGAAAAGTAAAGGCAGAACTCTGAGATTTTGTCAATTAGTTTAATATCTGTCCATAGGTAGTTCATATGAATGCTTAAATTACAAAATTAGCTGCCATGGTCCAAATGTATGGGACTTTAAGAAAGCTTTTATTAATCAAAAGATAGCTATGCATATCAACTTTGATTTCTAAAATGTATTTTAAAGGTTTATAAACAAGGCTAATTCTAGGATTACATAGCATTAAAGTAATTAAATTTTATGTTATTTTCATTATTTTAATAACTTAATGAACTGTTAAAAAATATTACATTCGCCTCTCCCAGTTTACATTTCTGCATTAACCTAGAGAAACATCCATGTGAAACGTTTCCATGCAGTTACAAAGGCAGCAGCACATGCTGTTTCCACAGCAACTCACGGTTATTGCCTCAGAACAGACCTGCACAGAAAGCATCAATACCCACCCGCCCCAGCGCAAATCCCAACCCAGCAAGTTACCTGGTACAAGCAGTGACTTAAAAAAATGATCTCTTAGTAGAAAGCATTTATAAAATGCAGAGATCTGAACAAGCCAAATGCCCGTGCAGATAGATGGGCCTCTCCCCCACAGCTCCATCCTCAAGAGGCAGAAAGAACTCTCGTAGTTCAGGAAAGCGAAGTTTTTAAAGTATATTTGTGCAATTACATGATGGTTGCTCTGAAGGAGTATATCCAGCCTCAACTGTGGGAGAGAGAAAAGCAGAGGGAGAAGCAAAGGCATACAGCCGGACTCAGAGAGGAGCTTCTCCAGGCACATCCACTAGATCGCAGCCACCACGAAGGGGAACAGGTGAGGCTTCACCAAGACCACACATCTGATCGAGGTGAAGTAGTTAGTTTTGCATGCATGTTACTCAAAAAAAGAAACATACAACCACTAAAAATACAGCATTCACATTGTCATTAGCTCATGGTATCAGGTGAGGAGAAAACTCCTGTGTATCTATCCCTAGTATTTTTCATGTACCTAACTACAGTTTAAGTCCCCAATTAGGAATGCCTAACTTACAAATGTCCCGCTTAACACACAGCTGGTATTTGGTCTTAATGCTGTGTAAATTTGCCCTCACTTTGAAACTAATGAACTAACTCCCCACTGGCAACAAAATTCTTCATGACAATCACATTCACTTGCTGCACAGCAGGTTTTACATCACTGAAAAGGCTTTGTGCCTTTTCTCGCACTAAAGGAAAACTAATAAGAACCATACGCACCTGTTACTTACAAATTCAACTTAAAGACACACTTGGGACTGGATCTCATTTGTAACTTGGGGACTGCCTGTATCCTAAAACCTACAGTCATCCTGTAATACTGGCATTAGCACCATCCACCTACGAACCATATACTGAACTATGTTATGGTTTGAGTCCCTGAAATTTCAATACCACATATAGTGTTCTAAACTTTACTTATTTCACAAGTTTAATGTAAGACACAGAGAAAACACAAAGCAATGTTTATTGTTCAATTGCAATAGTTATTTGTGGAATCTTGGTTTAAAGAGTCAGTCTTCATAGCCATTTTAATTGCCTAATTTAAGCGAAAAGCATCGATCTAATTAACTACCTTTAAATTTCATCTTTCTTCAAACATCAAAGCACTAAACGCACTGATGATTCATGTTGTAATTTAAAAAATATTTTAAAACCATACAGATTTCATATATCATTCCTTTTATGAAATAATCAAAATAGTTTGATTTTCAGGAAGAAAATGACTGAAACAGAGCCCTTCCAATGCCCCTACGACTTCTGCACGACTCCACACCAAGCGCAGGGCACATGATGGGCTCAGGATTCCTCAGTTGCTGGGAGTGTCTGGACTTTATGATGAGAAACGGACTGGTAGCCATACTTCCAGGGACTTCAGAGCTTCCAGGTGGCACCAGGACTCAGCCTGCAAGGGCCACTTTACATGGCTTTCACTTTGATTTGTTTCATTTTCATTTGCTTCTTCTCCAACTTCTTTTGCTCACGTCTCAAAGCAGCTTCCTAGAGAGAGAGAGAGAGAGAGAGAATCAAATTAAGCTATAAGCATACATTAAGGAAAAAACAAACTAGAATACCATCTGTATTAATACTCAAAAACTTAGGCTTGCACCACAAATGACATTTCTGAAGAGAATTATAAAGAAATTGCTACTACTGATGTTAGTAAATGAAAACTTGAAGCCAAGGTAAATAAAATTTCAATTTAGAAACAAACTAAACTAACATTTAACTAGACTTTGTTATTCTGATTTGATTTTTCCTATAGCAAGGGAACACTAGCCCAGCTTTCATCATAACATTTATATACATCTGCCAAGGACTGTACTTCAGTTCAGAAAACTGTATAGTTAATTGACTGTAAACCCCTTGTTAGCATAGATGTTAAACATAAGCACAATACTTATTCATAATGTTCATTGGGAATTGTTGTATTTTAAATAAGGAATTAGGAGGTTATATAGAGGAAGAGAAAGAAGCTTCAAATGCATTATTTTCATAGCAAAAGTCAATGGTTATTATTCCCACCAGTATGAGGCAGCCCTAGAGACCAGTCAAAGTACGACTCCACTCTTGGTTGAGAGTGGTCACCTTTGATTAAAGCTTATTTCAGCTCTAATCTCAAACTTCATTTTTTAGGCACTTCAGGCAGAAATGTCCTCAAAAATATACCTCTCAACTGGTCCAGAATAGAGGAAATGGGGAAGAACAGAGTGTATGTGTGTTCATATAGTTCTTGATATAACAAACTATGTTTCAAAGAGTGATTTGTAAATTGATGGTTTGCAAAATATCAGCTGTGGTTAGGTTCCTACACAAAATATAAAACCTGTGCAACTATACAGCAGTGTAAGCCTGAATGTTTATCCTGTAGCTGTGCTATTGTGTCAGTAGCATGAATAACTGAACCATCACTGTTAACACCAATTTTATGGGAAAATGCATCCTCAGTCTGGATTCACAGAGGCAGGAGTGAACCCACCACCTTAGGCAGTGCTGCTGCTTCCTGTGAGGGCCCATACCAAGCAGCAGCAACTGTGTATCTGTCCAAAGCTGAACTAACAGTGACAGGAAAGTCAGGGGCATTTGTATGAATGGGCCATTGAAGCCATAAATAGACTATTTTTCCTCCCCCAGTCCACTTTCCCATTTAGTTCACTGGCTCTTCTCACAAGGTTCCCAGACCTGTGTTGTTAGGTGTTATTGAGTAAATTCCGACTTAGTGTGACCTTACGTATCACAGAAGAAACACTGCCCAGTCCTGTGCCTTCCTTACAATCACTGCTGTGCTTGAGTTCACTGTTGAAGCCACTGTGTCAGTCCATCTCATTGAGGGTCTTCCCCTTTTTTGCTGACCCTCTACTCTGCTAAGCATGATATCATTCTCTAGGGACTGCTCCCTTCTGACAATGTGACCAAAATACGAGAGACAAAGTCTGGCCATTCTCACGTCTAAGGAACATTCTGGCTGTACTTCTGTGGAAGTTAAGTTTGTGTGTTAGCTTGGTTGGGCCTGGTTGAGTGGCTGGGCAGTAGATGTAGTATTCCCCATGATGAGACTGGTAATCAACTCCATGGTGGAATCTACTGGGAGCAGGTGAGTAGCTAGCTACCTTAGGGATGTGGTCTGCTTCCTATATATAAGCAGCAGCCTTGGGAATGGTCTCTAGTTTATGGCACACTTGAACCCTGTATATAGCTATGTCATTGTTCAGCAGCTTGCCATATTCTCTGCCCACCATGGGACTTTCAGTGGACTTGAATGAATGGCCTGCTGTGTGGTTTGGTAACATTGGAGACTCTGCCTTTTTACTTGTCAACCTTGGGTTTGTCAGCCTCAGCAGCCAGCAGCTGTCTGAGTGAAGAAAAGCCTTTAGCTTAGTGGACCGGGAGCATGAGGCAGAGCTGAAGCCCAAGGCTGAGGGACTTTCACCCAGCCCCCAGAGCCTGGCACTTTGAACTCAGACTTAAAGCCTCCAAATTGTAAGAGAATAAACTTCTGTTTGTTAAGGCCATCCCATTTGTGGTATATTCCTGTCAGAGCAGCACTAGGTAACCAAAACAACTTCCTCCAAGACAGATGTGTTCATTCTTTTAGTAGTGCATGGTACATTCAGTATTCTTCCCCAATACCACAATTCCAATGCATCAATTCTTGCGTGGTCTTCTTTGTTCATTGTCCACCTTTTGTATCCATATGAGGCTGCTGAAAATACCACAGCTTGGGTCAGTTGCACCTTAGATTTCAAAGTTCATCTTTGCTCTTAAACACTTTAAAGAGTATAGTTGCTGAATATAAATCAAGTCAAACAAAATCTTTGACAACTTCAATCTTTTCTCTGTGTATGATGGTATTGCTTCTTGGTCCTGTTGTGAGGATTTTTGTTTTCTTTATGTTGAGGTGTAATCCATACTGAAGGCTGTAGTCTTTGATTGTCATCAGTGTTTCAAATCTTCCTCACTTTCACCAAGCAAGGTTGTGTCATCTGCATATCACAGGTTGTTAATGAGTCTTGCTCCAATCCTGATGCCACATTCTTCTTCATATAGTCCAGCTTCTCAGATTATTTGCTCAGTATACAGATTAAGTATAGTGAAAAGATATAACCCTGAACACACTTTTCCTGATTTTAAACCAAGCAGTTCTTGCTCTGTTTCAATGTCTGCCTCTTGGTCTACGTACAGGTTCCTCATGAGCAGAATTAAATGTCCTGGAATTCCCATTCTTCACAATGTTATCCATAATTTTTATGAGCCACACAGCTGAATTCCGTTATATAGTCAATAAGACACAAGTAAACATCTTTCTGCTGTTAGCTTTCAGCCAAGATCCATCGAACATCAGCAGTGATATCCCTCATTCCACATTCTTTTCTGAATCTGGCTTGAATTTCTGGCAGTTCCCTGTAAATATACTGCTACAATCATTTTTTAATTATCTTCATCAAAATTTTACTTGTGTGGCCTAGATACAGTAAAATGGTGTTTCTAAAATATATGTATACCTGGTTTATGTCCATAAAAAGCTAGTACTTTAAGCTTCTTGTGGATTAAATCTAGGGCGCTTTTTCTTTAAATCTATTATGGCTGCAAACCTTACAAAGAACAAGGAACTCTTCACAGATAAAGGAAAGGCATTATTGTCAACCATTACTGTCAATCATTAATGCTTAATGATTTCTATATAGCTTCTTCATATCTATATACTGAAAAACTATTTTTAATCAGACATCTTTGAGCAGGCTCAGAATAAAGGTTTAGAGATCACATAGGCCAGAGGGGTGGCCCTGGGTGGTGCAAAACCACATCGAATCAAAAAAACACTTTTATCTATAAAGAAGACTGCATATAACATACTACACAAAACACTGTTCCACCTTCTACTTTGGCAAGTAGCAACTGGCATCTTAAAAGCTTGCTTGTAGCCATCTAGAGGCAACAATGGGTCTCTCCTCATCCAGAGCAAAGAAGAATGAAGAAAACCAAAGATTCATGGAAACAATTAGTCCTAGCAACTGGTACACCATGCGATCTTGCAACCTATACAACTATTGAGACCAGAAGAACTAGATGGTGCCC